GTCCGGGAATCGAACCTGGGGCCTCTGCGTGACCAGCATGTTAGCCGTTCGGCCACGGAGACAGTTCAAAGTGATAAAACGACGCAAATCTAAAAGTAAAATTTTGTGTACCTTACTAAATATTATAATAAAAAAAAAAATTATTATTATATACAGGTTTGTCAAAATATGTAAAATTGTCCAAGAATTGTAAAAAATGTCTGGTATTGTTCTTTCCTAGCGATTTTCTTTTATCAATAGCAGGGTTTTACCTGCGAGACAGGCTTTGCCTAGTGCAGGAATCGACGTAGGAAATTCTCTGTACGCGATATACGCTACAACTGAGTTGTCCTTCTTAGTTTTATACCATAATGTAAATTGTAATGTACCTACACAATCTCATTGTAAATAAATTATTTTGTATTTTTTTTAATAAAAAATAACTTCAATAACACCCAAATAACTTACATAGCTGGTGCCATGTACTTTTTATTACCTCGCCTGCAGAACAACGTTTGTACCAGCATACCCACTCGGCACTCCAATAAGGCGAGCGCGTAATATGTAGCGCTTCCTGCCCTCCCCCACTTGCAGGTAGTCTATTATCTAACCACCTCCCTCCCTTTTGCTGTTAGACAGTCTGCGCTCTACATACGTACAATACGTAACTACTGTGATATATTCTATATAACATTGAGATATATATATTGTTTTCTGTTTTTATCGCACTTCAATATTATGTTACTCGCGAACACATTTAATTTTGGACTAACGATGGGTACTTCAGAGATTGTTATGCATATGATGACATTGAATAAGCAAAATTAAATGTAACAAAGTTTTAAAGTGATTTTATTTTAATTTATTGGAAGATCAACGGTTATTTTACAGAACAATAACTTAAATAATGATGGACAGCCAATAAGTCTTCACCATTAAACACACATTAAGTTGAAATTAATAAGCCTTAAATTACTAACTATATAACTAGTTAATATACTATGACAAATTCGCAACACTAATAAAATAATCTACCTACTCGTCAAAAAACAAATTACTAATAAGATGCTTTACCGATGCAACACTAGAGTTAAAAAGGTCAATATCAACCTGCTTGGATAATACATTGAAGCTGTTCCTCGCACGTAAAGAGATATGCATTCCGCCGAAAGTTCGAAGAGGCCGGAGGTACGCACAGAAGTGAGTTAAACCAAGGAGTCTTTGTAGGGGCTAAGAGAAATTTTGGACACGAGTTTCGTGGAATTTAATTCCACGAAACTTAATCCAGAAGCAATTTTACGTAAAAATACAAGGTCTGAAATTTGACGTCGCACCCCTAGTGGCAAAAGATGATGTTTCTTACAAATTTCAAGATATTTATTTGACTCGTACCGCGCCCTAGTTCGAAAACATAAAAACTGAATAAATACTACTATATTATACTAGTAAGGTACTGATGGCTCTAGACCTGCGATGCGTATGCCAGGTGGCTGCGGTCAAATGAGCAATATAAAATTTATATGATATCTGAATTAAGTTTTTTGACGTCGCAATTCCATTATCTATTCCATACATTTCATAGCCTTAAGAATGGCTTCATGGTACGTGTTAATGAAGACAGAATTGCGGAAGCTTACGATGATTTAGCATTGCGTCTAGGACGCCGGTTTTTATTAATTAATGTGGAAGATAATGCTTACATTAAAATCAGATGTAGACTATATATCGTTTGAGCCTACGTATAGATTCGATTGTTAACAGTACACTAATTAATTATCATTTTACTTAAACCTAGACCTAGAGGTCCACTAATTACTAATGGGAATCCGATAAATGTCCCAAACGATCACAAATCACAACATTTGCTTTCACTTCCCATGCGCACTGACATGAGCTATCGACTGTACTAACATCTTCCTGATTTGTCGTGTATACACCACCATTATGTAGTAGGTATAATGATAACTATAGCTCAGTAGATAGTTTCGCCTCGACCTACGTGATGTCGAAATAGCTCTATTCTTTCCAGATGCTCTATTCTATTTATATGTTGTTACAGCTTTCCTTTGTATTATGTGATCATTTGTGTGTTTGTCAATTATATGTGTTTCGCTCATATTATACTAACAAACATCATGTAGACACCTGGAAAAATGGGGTATACTGTTTTGCAATTTCTTTTGCTACTGCTGCTATTGTTTAAGTACACAGAAATTCTTTTTAATCTCTTGATATAAATCGAGTTCTTAGGTTTTCGCGATTGTTACACATAGGAAATGAAACTTTTTTTCCGGATTCAAATCGGGTATATTTGTTTGTTTTGTACCACTGATGTGGTACAGTCATCCGTGTGCCACCTCAGTCAACCGTGACCATGGGACCTGTAAAGGGCCCGAAACGTCGGTTTGTTTGAAAAAACAAATATACGCGATTCAAATCCGGAAAAAATTAAAAAACTTTCATTTCCTTTGTTTTTAATTGTATTAGTAAAATAAGTTATCATTATTTATCGAATTCTTGAAAATGCGTTGGTTTGTTTGCAAAACAAATGCACGCAATTCATGTAAGTCCAAAATATAGCTTCAGTAAACCTTTGTCCGTGTTCTAACTCTGTAATGGTCTTTATTTAAAAGTATGTTGTTAACGTTGATGTTTCTTGGAATATTTGATCAATTTATGTTAACATTGTGTATGTAAGTTTGGATGTTTCTATATGTGGTATTGTCTGCAGACGAGACGGGGCGGGCACTGGTGCCTTTTACCATCGCAAAGTAAGTGGTAGAAACCCAACAAGTTGATCCTACTTCGGCTTCGGTTTTGTTTCGCACACCCTGTCGCCGTCTCTACTGTATTATATTGAATTTGTATAATCTCCTTTAGTTGGCACACGTTACTTTATTTATTATCCAATATACACTCGTATATAATTAAAGTAAATCTTGTCTATAGTGCTTCGTTTCCTTTGTTTCCTAATTACCTACTGCTTGATAACATGCTATTTTCGCTGTGTATATCAAGTACTGATTAATTAAATTACTTTTCCTACAATTGTTTAAACAAGGCATTACATTTTTTATTTTTGTCGGATGCTCAAAGACGCGTGTATTGAATTTCTCTCAAGGCACTTGCCTCCCTTGGCCGGGCCATCAAATCTCCGCAAAATAGCGACCAAAATGTTTTTTGACAAGAAAAGATCTATTTACTAGTGACCTTTGGAGCATTATGTAGTCACGTGATACTTAAAAGGATTTAAAAAATGTAATGTTTTGAATCCGTTGTCTATCGTCTCGTAAGACACTCGTAAATGGTTCTTTGCCCTATTGATGAATCCCGTCGGGAACCGAGTGGATCGAGGGAGAATTCCTGAAAAATGTTAAAACCTTGAGTGAACTCTTCTTAAAAGAAGATTTGTTTAGAATTATAATTGGTGCATTTACTCCAACTTGTTAAATTAGAATTAGTCTTAAAATTCCTGCTTGCTGTTCCCTTGTAGATGGTTTCTTTGTAGTTGGACCTTTTGTTGTATTTTGATCTTCAGTAGCGTTTCTGTTCTATTCTTGTTCTTTGATTGCTGATGTACTGTTGGGATATTTTTACTAAGTCTCTGAGAAAAGCATCTGGGATATGGTATTAATAGTCGTGTACAGTGGACACTACTGTGCCTTGTATCTTTAGTATGTGGAACTTTTAAATTAGCACTTACCAACTCTATTCTTACGGAATAGTAGATCTTTATTAGAGGTACCACAGAGGTCTTTACATCTGCATTAGGATCCGGTTTTATAACTAATCACTTAATCTTGTAGTGTGTAATACCGCTTTTACACAGGGCGAAGTAATCACTAGCGCTTTTCTTAAGAACAATAATGTGCTAAAGCAATAATATTTTCGTAATCCCGGCGAGGTCGCTCATTAGCCCCTTGTTCCTCGGTCGGTGACTTATCGCACACTAAAAATAATTCACGGCTAGGGCACACCGAAAGTGGCACCTTTGTCACTGAATCCGCCTCAACTGGTCTTAGATAAATCTTGAACTTGAAGTGAGACAACGTATTTAATTAAGTAGGTATACGCTAATGCGAATTATTAGTTTATTGGCGTTTACTGTCCCGAAAAGAATTGGTATGTATGCCGTCGCGCCTCAACAACGCAACAAGTGACTGTGTCAAGGAGATACGAATCTTGTACCATATACTTCTCCTAAGTGATGTATATCTTATTAGCAAATAACGACTAACTTTTAACTGCCTCCATAGCCATACGGATACCGTAATGGTCTGCCAGCAGAGGTCCCTGGTTCGATTCCCGGGCCGGGAGAAATATTCGTTTGGCATGCATTTATTTATCTCGTGAGCTTGGGGTTTGAAAACAATTGTGGACGTGAATGTTGGTCGGTGTCAAGCGCCAGCCCTGCCGCGCAGCACGCGCGTGTTTACATCCGAGTACGTCTGTTTACGTCTAAAATAACTCTCCTTACTTCCCACGTCGGACATTAATTGTACGACATTCAATTTTGAAGAAATTGTCCTAAATCAAGGCAAATCCATTACTACCTACAATGATCTCCTATGTGACCGAGTTCTGAAAAAAGTTTACCTTATTTTAATGTATCAGTGAAATGGTAGTAATCCCCATGTATTGATTCAGTTTCTAGTTTCCTGTTCCGTACTGCATAACATCTCAAATGTTGTAGCGGGATTCACTGTAATTTATGTCTTTGAGCTGATATCAATATTAAAGGTTTTTGTTACTGCAGTCGTTTTGTTTGTAGAAGAAATTGTCCGTGCGGAAACGTGACCAAGCCTGGTCGCTGGACCGGCGCAAGACGAAAGACCTGACATTGAACTCGCCCGATATAGTTTATCTCAATTTAGCGCGAAACTTTGCAAGTGTCAATGTCGCGAGTGCGATGTTTGTGAGGCCAAAATAATTCGCTTTGTCTCCTGACAATGACTGAGACAATTAACTCGGTGTTTTATTTTTATTGTACCGGATACTCGAATAAGTGCAACAGGGAAGGAATCCGGTACCAAAATAAAGGTATGCAAGACGACCTCAAACACGTCCATTAATTCGCTATTATTAATCCATAGCGGTGAATGAACTTATCAATATCCCATCCGTTCGTCTTTAAAAATAATATATAAAATTCTGGTCAATAAACTGAGGATTATTGTATATAAACTTCTTTTGTTTATGAGTGTACGATATTGTTTGTCCAGTTACGTTTTCGTTTATTACATAATCAGCGTTCAGCGTATGGATTAGATTTTGTATCTATTTATATTGTTGTGCTTTGTTGGAATATGGCAAGAAATAGTAACATAAATGAGTTTCCTGTATATTATTCATTGCTTTATTTTTTTAATGCTTTTCTGGTTCAATTATATTGGCTATACTAACAATAAAACATCGATGAAAAATAATGTGTAGCCACAAAATACTGTTCTTGTTTACAAGTTTATGTTTACTTACTGATGTTCTTTTTATTAACGATGTATGACAATTTGTATTGTTCTCGATTTATACTCTATTCCTTCCTATTTATAATGGAGGCTGTTATTTTGCATTGCGTGCGCGCATGCCGATGTGTCGTTTCCAAGTACCAACGCATAATTAGCACCAATTAAATCTTGTCTACAAGTCTAGTGTAAACTTTACGCTCAATTCGGGTGCGTCGCCTCGCGACAGCGCTCGTTGGTTTAAAATATGTGCTTAATAAGATGTGAAGTAAACACACATTGGTGTTGGTCTTGTTAACAATGACTTTCGAGAAATCTGTTTAATAGTGTATTAATATAGTGCATTTAAAAACGATCAAGTCTCAAGATAACGCACACACTCATAACGCACAAAAGTGCACGAAGGGTAAAGTTTTTTTATGTTGTTTTTAGTTTGTATTACAAAATGTGGAGTAAAAAGATTTGACAAATACCGAAAATCTAATTATTTTTATTATGTATTTAAAAAAAATAAAATTCGTTCCGAATAAAATTAAATTCAAGCGTTCAGATATCGGAAAAACCTTTCGAAGCAATACCAAAACTCACGTTCCGTATTACGCAAAAGAATCAGTAATAGTAAAGAGTCGAAAAGTGAAAAGTTATTTTAAAACCGACGAAAAAAGAACGAAATAAAACCAATATTTCGTTTTTCATGTCAAATGTAATTTAGTTCATATCTTGTACGTTATATTTTTTTAATCTGTTATGTCAGATTACCAAAAATTGCTTTCCGCAGTTTCGTCATTTTACTACCGGGTGGTGCAAAAACAGAATTTGGTTTTAGTCTCTAATACTTTTGTAAAATTTTCTTCCATATGAATTTTTAACGTGACACAGCGCTCTTCATAAAAGAAAGAAACTTGCCATAGAAATATTTTACGCGGTCGCTAGCGATTTGTACTCGGTCCACATATGGTAGAAGGAAGATTTAAATATGTGACGTCATCGCACTCGTGATCCCACTATTACAAGTGGTTTTCACACTTTTATGTTATTAGCTGTTATATAGTATTCGGGGAGGAAGGAAGTTCCTGACCATAATATATCGCCTGGGCACTCCTGCGTAATTACAAGGATATTTTTAGAGCTGGGACACATTAGAGACTGCGGCCATAATATACGCTCGGTAGTTTATGTGTAAGGTAGCGCCAGTCAATTGAAACGAAAACGCGTAAACGTAGACCGCGTAGCCGCCTCCTGTGTGCTCTAGCCCTTGCGCGTAAATCAATATTATTTTGCTATTCTATTTTATTCCACTAGTGGTATTTGATCTAGTTACCGTTTGTAAACTCGCTAGTTCCTGTCCTTCTAAAAGCTTTATGTAGGTGATTGAAATAATTAATTCTTATTTTAGTTGCTACCCTTGATTTGAATATTTCTTTAGGTATTTATGCTCTATTGCTCCCAACCCTTAATAAAATCCCAATAGATAGAACAAATTTACATCTGCAGTTTGAAAAACGTGTTTCGTTAACGTTACAGATGCCCCGTGGCCGGGACGATATGCAAGTAAACGTGGCGGGGCTAAGGAGAAATATTAAAAACCTAGCTCACAACTACAGTGATGCACAGGTAAAGTATTTGAATTTCTCATATTCAATATTAATTTGTAGTTTCGAAGGTGAAGTATCGTATTTCCGTTTATACACTATAAAATAAACTTGAGAACACATGTTAATACTGCAAAATACGCCTGAATAAATTTTATGTATAACGCACAGAGAAGCATAAAATACATGAAGACAGAGTGAACTATTTGAAAACGCTGTAGGCATATGGCAATTTTATTTTTTTCTAAAGTAATTATGTTATTTATTTTGTTATTTTATTTTTAAATCGGCCTCTTCGAAAAGGGTCCACTGAAAACCAGCGCTGTGACTCCGCCGCAGTATTTGCTGAGTTGGGCCCTTTTCAGCGCAATACACTTTAAACATGAAATCATAATATTGTACTGTTAACATGTGTTTGTGCTGAATAAATGTATTTTCTTTCTTATTTATTGTGATCCAAAAGCCTTTTTTAGGAGTATCTTTGCATTTTAGAGGCAATGAACTCCACGGCTTGTCATTATAATCAATTTATAATTTTATTGCTAGACGTGGTGCCTTTTCTCATAATAGACACACGCACACGAGCGCACATGCACTCCTAATTCTAAAGTGATTTTTGTCTCCAACCCGCTTTGGGGTAGCGTAGCGGGTAAACCGTCACCGTGGAGGAGACCCGTGCCCAGAAGTGAGATGATGATTTACTGAGTTGACGATGATTTAAGCTGTCCACCGTCTCAATCAATAACTATATAAATTACAGGTTAAGGTACGCGAAGCAACATCTAACGACCCATGGGGTCCCTCGTCGACGCTCATGGCGGAGATCGCTGACCTCACATACAACGTTATGGCGTTCACCGAGATCATGCAGATGATCTGGAAGCGCCTCAACGACCACGGCAAGAACTGGCGGCATGTCTACAAAGCTTTAGTGCTCATGGAATACCTGATCAAGACTGGAAGTGAAAAGGTCGCTATGCAGTGCAAAGAGAATATTTTTGCGATACACACCTTAAAGGACTTCCAGTATATGGAGGAGGGGAAAGACCAGGGTGAGTGTGTGTCTTTAGGTTTTTTAGAAATTTCTAGTTTATATCAAATAAAAAAAAAACATTTATTAGCGAATTACATATAAATTCGTGGTATTGTTTAAACACTACTATTCGTAAGGCAAATTCATCGGAGAAGGATAAGTACAAAAAGGACTTACGGGCTTTGTTCTTCGTGAAGAAATATTAGTTTACGATAGTAATTTACAATATTTATTTCCAAACATCTTGTGGGTAGACACATCCTAAAAGAGCTGTACGGATCACTCCAGTGGATTTTTGTCAGCTGTGCCTTCTGCGTAAGCTGTAAATAACATTAACTTGATATTGTATATTTAACTTATACGTTTATAATGATAATACTGTACAAATAGTATAAGTTACAAAACAAACTTTTTTTGTAATATCCAGTGATGGGACTGGTGAGCGACACGCTTGGCCATAACAGTTGTTGTGCCACTCAGTTTTAAATCGCAAAGATCTAGCGCCCGTCACCCTCAGACATAAGTTGACAAGTCCCATGTGCCTGTAATTCCACCACCGCCCTTACCTTTCAAAACCGGAACACAGCAATGCTGACATTACTACTTGGCGGCAGAAATAGGTGAGGTGGCAGTACCACACTGGGCGAACTATTTCACAGGGAGCTCTATCTTCTGAAAGGTTTTAGTTCGCCTAAAGTAGTTCTTACGTCTTTAGATATATTGACTTTCCGACGTTTATCATAAATATTGTTGAAGCAAATCGAGAGTACCACAGACATATATCTAGATAGACGCCGCAAGTACAGCAATTTGTATGAAAACCAAGCGTGTTACTTTTTTGTACCCACTATGACATCACAAGAACTATTTAGTGATGGAAACCTCCTTCCGCTCGCAATAAATCGATTGACTGAACGGAACTGAATACGCGTAAGCACGCGTATTCCATTCAATTAATCGATTCTAAATAGAATATTTTTTGTTCAAGTATTTGTTGACTACAAGTAGTCGTAATATTAATATATTAGAAAAGTACTAGAATAAGCTAAGCCCTTTATTTTACTTGTTATTAAAAAATGTTGATTACTTAAATTAATTAAAACTTTAATTTTTAATCAACTTCAAATATTAAAATTATTGTCCTTTCAATAAAATGAGCTTATTATATAAGATCTTTTTGTAATGGAAGATCTTATCGATTAACTTAAATAATGAATACGCACGTCAATATATGAACTTGCGACTGCCTTAATTAATTTTACTAGATGCTTTTCTGTTGGTAATTGATCAAATTGATGAATGCCAAGACAAATGAAAATGTTACTACTGACAAAATATAGTAAAATCTTATTAATCAGAAGAGGTTTACTTAATGACGGCCTCGTGTGTAATTTCTGTGATTTGTTTATTATTTCTCGGATTTCTAACTCTGTTACTCTGCATATTTGGATAGCATCTTAGGTGGGATAAACTAGACCACCTCGTCCTCGAAAGCAACGAAACTCATACATATGACCAACTCCAGGTTTTTGTAAAGACAGCGCACTGTTAATTCTTTGCATTATATGTTTTTTTTTGTATTAGGTACTCGTACTACATATCCGGGGACGTATGTAATTATTTGCTCACTATATTCGGACATTCGAGGCAACGTGCTGCAATAATTATCGAAATTTATTTGTCTATTGTATATTAAAAAAAAATTACAGATACTACTGATGAAAAAAAAAACCAAACGTGACTGAACGTTGTAACAAAAAAGTTATAGAATATTTTTATAATATTGCTAAGGTCATAATAATTTTCGTCCCTTCGTTTTCAAAATTGATCAGAATCGAGAACAGTGTTGCTTAACGTATACAACACTAAATGTTCAATTTGGCCAAAGAAATGTACAAGCGTCCGTACCACGAAACTGAATGCATTATACAAAAGTGCGTTCGTTCGGTATTTATGGCGTATTAACAAAGGATCACAAATATATCGCACCAAGTAATAGCCGCAATGTATTACAAACATGAGGCATACACTGCGTTGCATATTTGTTTTCTCGAAATTCATACAAAATCAAAATAACTGTTTTTAAAATAAATTGCATCTTCTGATTACAAAATCACTTGCCCGTGGAAGGAAACGTCCCTGTTTACCCGTTTACCCACAGTTATGGTGCTTTTGCAGTTTATCATGGCATAATTATGCATTTTTCGCGTTTTTGACTGGTGTTTATCTACGATAACGATCGAGCGCGTTCTGAAGTGTAGCAGTGGCAAGTAAGTGAATTTTACTTTGAGCACGCGAAACACGTACACTTGCGGCGTCTTTCTAGATATAAGTATGTCTGCGGTGAGTACGCTTATGTCCTGGTCAAGCACTGGTATCAACTAAGATGACCTTCAAAGTTTAAATATGGCCCATAAAATGTATATTTTCAATTTTAATAAACCATTGACAGAGACCGGATACCTTATCGCATATTACGTTACAGTAAGTAGTACGTGTGTACGCCAACATCCGGCGGCGTCGGCAGCGCGGGCGTAGGAATTTGAAGCTCATTGTTATTCGTACTGTGATGCGTTAAAGTTATCTATCAATCGTAATATTAATTCGCGCGGTGACATTACAAAGTGCTACTTTTCATTTACGTGGTTAGTTTAGGACACGATAACACATTCCAGTCTGCGCGTGCGCACGTTTGCTTTGTTAATCAGTGTGGTGCTGTTCGTTAGTAATTAAATTTATGTGAGCCATAAAATCGCGAACAATGGAAAGTTTCGCCATCGGATTTCCGTTTTGTTCAGTCGTGATGTCGACGTCGTCGGGACTGACGCCACATAATATTTTTGGAAAATATGAAGTTGTAATCTTGTACTAGGCGTCGTCTAAAAGCGAGGTCTGCTCGGCAGGACGGATACGGTGGAAGATTTTGTTTATCGGACTAGCCCGGTCGACTCGACTCGGTCGAATAGCCGGCTAATCGAAAGGAAGAATATGACCCGTCGCCGGCGACGCGGCTGATGCTTGACAACTTCGCGCCGCAGGTCTAAACGTCCGCGAGAAGGCGAAGCAGCTGGTGAACCTGCTGAAGGACGAGGAGCGGCTGAAGAACGAGCGCGCGCGCGCGCTCAAGGCCAAGCAGCGGTTCGCGCAGAGCGCCAGCGCCTTCGGCAGCGACGGCGCCCTCGACTCGCCCTCCAGCCCCGCCTACCCCGCGTACCCCCTGGGCGAGGCGGGCGCGGAGTGGGGCGCGGGCGCGGGCGGGGGCGGCGGCGGGGGCGGGGGCGCGGGGCGCGAGGCGGAGCTGGCGCGGCCGCTGACGGCGGGCGAGGAGGAGCTGCAGCTGCAGCTGGCGCTGGCCATGTCGCGCGAGGAGGCGGAGCGCGAGGAGCGCCGGCGCCGCTCCGACGACGTGCGCCTGCAGCTGGCCATCTCGCAGTCGCAGAACGACTTCCAGTGAGTGCCGCCCCGCCCCGCCCCGCCCCGCCGTCCCGCCTGCCCCTACAGCTTCCCTGTCCTCTCCCAGACTGGAACAGATGCGGCTGCGGCTGGAGTCGCGCGACGCGGGCTGGCTGCGCGGCTGCCTGCGCTGCCTGCGACCGAATGTAATTGCGTTAGTGGCGCCCCCCTTCGGCGGCGAGCGCCGCGCCGACCGCGACCCGTTAGTCGAACCGCCGGAACCGAGCCGAGCGGTCGCCCAGCGACCCGACGCTTGCCACGCTTGGCGCCCTAGCCGATTAGTTGTATTCCAAAGTCGTTCGCTGTAGTCGCCGACAGTTAGTTTTGAAAGTATTCTTCGTAAGCTTTTTATTTCATTACGTAACGTTTAAAACTACTTTAGTTTCAGTCATTATTTAGCCCGTCTTCCAATGCCAATTTTTATACCTTGTATGCGAGATGATTCAAATAAAATGTTACTTTTTTAAGCCCTAAAGAAACGAACTTGCGATGCAGGCAGGAAGTGGAGAAAAAAGTTGAGCCGCAGTCGCATCTGCTGGACCTGCTGGACGTGAACCTGGGCGCGCACGGCTCCGCCGCCTCCTCCACCGACCCCTGGGGCATGCCGCAATCGCAGCCGCATCCGCGACAGGTTTATAACTTAACTTAATAACACAATGTCGAGACACAGAGCCTTAACTACCCGTGTGTATAAATAAATAAATCGGGCTTTATACCTCGTAAAGTTTATACCTTATACATATGTAAACAAACTATTCTTGTGAACAATGAACTACTTAAGATTTGCAATAATATTGCTTTTTTTCGACCCTCTCTTGCGTTCTTTGCCGGATATTGTCAGATATACAGACTCATAGTCTGTCTTTTTTAAAGATAGAGGAAGTATTGCCCGCTCGCGAGCAGCTAGTGATTGCAGCCAATAAATCGACCCCTCCTACGTAAAGTATCGTATGTCGAAATTGCCAAGTTTACAGGGAAGCATTTTAAATTTCTCAATTCACTGCAATGAACGTAACACGTGACTTTAGCATTTCTCAGTTTTATTCGGCAAAGCTCGTTACTCACATAGAGTATTGTAAAATCCTAGATGTCGGTTAAATGATCACTCTATGTCAGTAATGAAGTTTTGCCAAATAAAACGGAGAACTTTAAAACGCTCCCCTGTAAACTTGGCAATTTCGACATACGATACTTTACGTAGGAGGGGTCGAAATATTCTATCGACTATCGACTGAATGTCGATTAAGCTTATACAATAAATAGTCGAACTTGTTTCATTTGAATCATCATCGGCCCATTATTCGTCCAACTGCCGGGCACAGGTCCATTTGAATTGTCAATTTTTGTAAGTTCATACATACACTGCATTTAGAACTAGGTCTATTAAAAATGTGAAGAGGAAACATATTTTAAAGAGTTTCAATTTAATTTAATATAGATAATCAAATCTGCCGGTTAGTGAGATGTACATGAATAAAAATTGATTTCGATACTAATAGGCCAACTGTCAAAATAACAATGGGCTACGACGGACCAGCGACTTTATTGCACTTGCCTCTAAGCACCAGCAGACTCCGTTGAAAATTTCACGTCCCGAACAAATTTTGCGTTGAACGCTACCTCTAAGTTAATTTTTATTTTTTATACATCAGTCAATGCAGCCGGATTGCGGTATCTTTTCCGACTCCATGGTAAGAAATTGTAATAGGAAATTAACGTATTACGCTAGATTTTAGATTGCACCGCGTGGGAGTGCGTTCTTTACCACACTAGGAACTAGAATGTTTGTTTGTCGACTTACGGGCGTAAGCTCTGTTGATTGGAGTCGATGACATTCGCGAATGTCTCGATTGTACGAGACTAACCACTCGCGTGAGAGAGGGCGTCGTACTGACCCTGAATGTCCCCAGGAACCGGCGGCCGACGCGTGGGCGGCGGTGGGCGCGGGCAGCCCCGCCAAGGACCCCTGGGCGCCCTCCGGCGCGGCCGGCAAGGACCCCTGGGCGCCGCTCGCGCAGGTACTTTCCCGCTTACGACCGCTTTCCCTCGGTTTTCTCCGTTAAGCAAGTCCGGCTTCGCTTGACATCCGCGCCGTGTTCGCAGAGCAAGTCTCCGGAGTCGCTGCTGTCGTCGCCGTCGTCGTCGGAGCTGGAGCAGTTCGACGCGCTGTCGCAGCGGCGCACCAACAACAACGTCGACAGCGACCCCTTCGACCTCTCCCTGCTCGGTCAGTACGCCGTCCGACACACGGTCTGCATTGTCGTGTTGCGTTCGTGGCACGTGGCCGAGTTCTAGCACTTTAGGCGTCGACACAACCTCAAATGGCGTTGGTCGACTACGCATAACAGTGAAAGTATTGAATCACTTCGGAAAATATATAGTAAAATTAAGGATATTTTACAAGAAAACCACTGCATTCAATGGACCAGTACTTTCCATATTCCAATATTTTTTTTTATATCGACCGAATTATATACAACACGTTTAGTATACGATATACATTTTTCAAACGGCTTTAATTTAGTTTGTAAAAAAGTACACTGTGACATGTAGCAAGTGTCCCCGTCGCCCGCCGCTCGACCCACAGCTCGAGATGGTGACGTATAAAATAAAGGACGTTCCCGTCGCAGGCGACAACCTGGCGCCGCAGGCGTCGCCGCCCGCCACGAACGGCACCAACGGCACGGCGCCCTTCGCGGCCAAGAAGTCGGCGTCGGCCTTCCTGGGCGAGAACTCGGCGCTGGTGAACCTGGAGCGGCTGCTGCAGCCCGCGTCGCCGGACCCCCCCGCGCCCAACCCCTTCGCCTCCGACGCGCCGCGACACATGTTCCAGCCGCCGCCGCCGGTAACGCCTCCGCTTGCACCCGTCCAACAATGAGACGGCTGCCCCGTCGTTTGCGCCGTCTGACGTGCCTCTGTCCCCGCCGCAGGCGCGCCTGACCATCAACGAGCTGAAGCAGCAGCAGATGGGGCTGACGGGCGTCGCGTTCATGAGCCCGTCGCCGTCGTTCGCGGCGTCGGCGCCCGCCGTGCCGCTGCTGCCCGCCGGGGCCGCCGGGGCCCCCGCGGCGCCCGCCGCCGACCCGTGGGCCCCCACGGCGGCCCCCCGCACGCAGTCCCCCTGGGCCGCGGCGCCCTCGCGCCACACGCCCAACCCCTTCCTGTCCTAGCGCGCGCCGCCGCCCTTCGCCGGTGAGTGGCCCGGCCTTCGAGCCAGCGCGAGACGCCGAGACGGCACTCGTCCTAAAGAGATCTACGCTTTGTTTGCAGAGGGTCCGCCGCCTGTCCTCCGCAGCGCGCGTTAGTTGCAACCTGGCCACTTTTTGACTAACCGGCTGTTCGCACGGCGTCCGCCTCTGCGGGAACGGTTCGGAGCTCGATCTGTTTCGGCCCGGTCGCGCTGGCTGCGACTGGCGCGAAGCGAGCGAAGCCGATAAATATCGTTAGTCAACACGCTGCGAAGAGCGCGGCGAACTTAAAATATAGAAAAATTAGAAATGAATTCTACTAAAATCGATTAAAATGGTTCCAATTTATTTACCGAGCGGTTCACCCGCAGTCGATGTGCGAACCTTATACGGGTGAAAATAAACTCAGACTGCAACTAACGGTCGGCGAGCGCTCTCCGTTCCTCGAAGCCACGGTCACGCGGACCGCCATCGAACAAGTTCGAATGAAATTGACCAAATGAATTGAGCAAACTTGAGGGAACTTCGCGTCGGTCAATCGTATTATTGTATGTAGTGAGTGCGAGAGTGGACTCTGTTTGGTGTAGGTTTACAAATTTGTCGTGTAAGTTTGTGTAAAATGAACCGTTTTTATATTATAGAGACTGGCTAACGCTGTGACGTATTTACGCCAGTACCCACGCGTTTTGTGCGTTTATGAATTACTCTACATTTTACGTGTAAACGTTTGTACGTATTATTTGTATAAACAGACTTGTGCGCCTGTATGTATGTTACAGTATAGTGATAATTATGTATGGCTCGATGAAAATAGGTACAGTCGACCCTCGTTAAGCGTAATAAAAATTAAATTTTATTTATATTCATTAGTTTCATTACAAGTAATGTGCAGTTGCCAGTACCGTTTTTGTATTTATATTATTATGTTTAGACAATGTTTATTTCTATTGTGTTTGTGTGTAAATATGTTGGCCCTCATCGCTTCTTCGAGGCAGCTTTTCTTTTTGAAGTTTTGTGAGGATAAAAATTTATATTAAAAAAATTAAAATGTAACCATTACAATTTCGTAAACGCACAAAAACGTACGACATACTATAGACATATTAGCATCCATAGATTAAAAATAGTTAAGGGTTCTCGAAATCCCGAAAAGAATTCGGAAATGAGCCTGAACAATGGAAGACGAGGGTTCTTTTGTATGGTATTGAGAGAAATTTGCAACGCTGTGGAAATGGAAGCTGAAATTCGGACTTGATTTCAAATTAATGTTTTAAACACATGCAGTTGAGCAAAATAATACGCGGAATAAAGACGAAATGCAATTCCACAGCGTCGTCAAAGTCGTAATAAAAATCGCGTCCACAATCGGCGACTGCGGAATAAGTGTGAAGTTGTTAATCGTGCCTTAGATACCGTTTGTATTGTTATTGTTAGTGCGTCGCCTTGTTGAGCGCTGGGTTTCACTACATGCACTTCAATTAAAAACTTACGATATGCCAAAATCATTTTCCTACCCCTTGTGTCCTTTCGTCATGAAAGTAGTACCAGTTAAGCAGAATAAGAACCATAAGTCTTATAGGCGAAATTGCAGTTCAAAACATTGTGTGTAGTTAAATCCAGGCGTTAAATAATCGCTAGAATGATTAGGGACTCGTATCGGCTGAACCTGCACTTTATAGTCTTTCCCTAAACTGTCCATGACTTCTTTACGAGTTAATAATGACCTATTCATCAATTTTATTGACCACGACTACAGATTAAACAATCGGCCGGCTCTCTGATCTCTTACTTGAATAATAGGAAACAAACTTTTGTTCCAGTGATTTAATTCGTCATATCGTCGCCTTACTTTCTCAAACTCGTATCTTTAAAGCACAAAGTTACTAAAATGCAAAAAATTGATTGTTTTAAACTAATTTTACAGGCTGATTTCTCATCACATTCTTATTCTTAAACTAATGCATCCAAATGTACACCCTTGATAAGAAATTTAAAGTAAATAGAAATTTTTGCCTTCTCCTAAACAATCACTCTTTATAAGATTTGAGAGGAAGTTAGTTGACAAGTCAGATTTCGACTATTGCAATATTGCAGGAGAGCTGTGCGCTGCAGGGTTGACGATAATAATGGTATTGCGGGAGCTTAAAGAAATCCTACTAAGAAAAAGAACATTGGTATCGAAAAGTACCTCGCAACGTTGAAGTACTGAGTTCAATAGTTAGGTAAACTTTTGTAGCTGCAGCGAGTCCGAATGTGCCGAGATCGCGCCGCGTCCAGTTCAAGCCTCGCGCTTCTTATCGTGTGTGTATGTGCGTACAAACTATTCCATTTATTGTTGTATATTATGTATGTATCGGTTGCTTTCGCCCACAACCGTGTAGTATTTTCGCTAAACTAAATTGTCTATGGTTTAATTTACGTTGGCGGTGTTGCCAGTATGAGAAGTTGCTTGCTAGCCTAAAAAAGATGGGAAACATCAATTTCCATCCAACGATTAATCGTTGCTTGACCAACGCATTTTTCTTACACTGGTAATATTCTGTTTCTTTTTTCGCTTATTTAATGATTAACTAGCTGGTTCAAATGGTTATTAATTTGTTTATCAGTTATGTAGATAAATTATTTTTTAATATATTAATTTTTTGACCAATAAAATGCATCGATGCTAATCCAATGTGTCACTAGCTAGGGAAACTGTAAAGATTAATGTAACTATTTAATTAAAATATAAAAGTTTTTCAATATTTTACACCTTTTTTTATTCACGTGCCGCGCTCGGGGCCCTCGAAGAAATAAAACACCGTCCTCGTACAATATGATTATAATTTATTCATCAATAGTTTACAAAGACGTTATCGTACAAATATTAGTTTCGAGGATCTGATATAATTAATTACCAGTACAAACATTTCCATTTTGTTCATTACTATAAAAAAGAAAACTTAATTTATGCTTTCGATTGCCTTCAAGTACGTCGAGATTTGAAGTAAACGTCGGAACATCGCTTATATATACAAGATAAATAACGCACCAGTTACAAAATTCCCAGTAAAAATCGTATTAAAAATGTTCACTTTTCATGTAGCATTTATATAAAAGCACGGAATGGACGTTTGGAAGCGGCATGTGTTCAAGTTTACTCTATTCAATGTTATTTAACTTACATTAAACTTAACTAGCTTTACTCATTAATTAGTTAGAGGCCAGACTTGCCACGGTCCGAGGACTGGTCTGGTATTGCGACAACCCCTGTTACGTAACATTGGTTTCAATGCAAATTGCGGACTTGTAGGTTTCAGTCTCACGGCGTCAACGTCACTAACCTACAGAGGGATACAAAACGCATAGATAAAATCGTACAAAATCCATCGACTAGACGCTACAATATCCAATAAATATTATCGAAAAACTCCCAATAATGTCCCCACAATTTGATATCGTTACATTATTCTAATAATAAATAATCCGAGCGACGGTCGCGAAATAATAAAAAAATAGAATCCGAGAACGAGCAAAGACGGCGGCGCACCACCGCTAATAAGGAAATAAAATACAGTTACAACAAAGAGAAGCGATATTTCCACAATGATCACATGCGCGGGCGCGCGCGATAAACAACCTTAACCGTACTAAATGCAAAGCGGGCGGCGCCGCGGACGCGTCCTCGGCGACAATCGGCCGACCGCCTCGGCGAGGGAGCGCCCCGAGAAGGAAGTGTCGCGAACGTGTCGGTCGGCGGGCCTAGTACTCCCAGTGCGTGGCGCAGCTGAGGTCGCTGCCCGACAGGCGGAAGTTGCCGTTCTTGGCGGCGGCCAGGTACTCGCGCGAGGCGGCGGCGCGGATGGCCAGGCGCGTGGGCTCGCGCAGCTCCAGCAGGAAGCCCTGCGGCGCGTCGCCGTCGCACGTCACGCTCTCGCTGTCGGCGTGCCAGTACTTGCCGTTGGACCCTGCAAACCGGGCTTCAGTGTCGGGCGGGGCGTGTCGACGACAAACCTCCGGTGCATCGGTTCTGGGCTTTCAAACGCCCGAACTCGAACACTGAGGGCTTTCGGTTCGCGTGCCGCCCGTCACACGTACAATGTTTTTCATCACATTTGCGAGTAAATAGTATGATTGTATAAAAAATTCAAGATCCTCGGGTTTCGTTTCTTATTACAGCCATGGTCGTGTACTGACAAGAAAAAAGGCCCGAGAGCTTTGTTTAGGCATTATAGTAAACTTAGCCTGCATGCAATCATACCATTTACGTGCAAATGTGATGAAAACATTCAAACATACTGAATAGTACAATAAGTTATTTCGCGTCACAAATAGTTGAGCAAAAAAGACTGATCAAGTAGTAGACGACAAAAAAGAAAGTATGCAAGAATTTTCATGGGCTATTTGCTTTAAATTTACAATTACAACAATTTGTGAACTCTATTTTTTATGCACTATATTCTTTATTAATAACAAACGTGCGTGCACAAAATATTTTTGTTTCGTTATTTAATAAAATCTTTGAAAAGAATTAATATCAAAAGACAACACACAAAATACATTTACGTACGAGAAATACTCATTGTATAAATATGTAGTGTTTGGCTTCGTTCATATATTAAAAATCGCTTCTAATTGCCAGTTGCTTGTACCCAATACAAGGCACACGTTCACGCGGCGCTTTGGTTATTTGTTGTTATATCAAATGTTCACACCCGCTCAAGTTGGGTTCAATCGATTTATGTTGCTTAGGTTAGCTTTAGGAGGTTCAAGTGCTAATAATGTAAAGGAATTTGCCGTCGCTTTTCTCCACGTGATCGGCAGTGGTCCGAAAGAAAAACTCACCCTTGAAGTAAACGGCACCCTTTGGCCCGCGCACCACCTGAATAGTCTCGTAGTTGGCCTTATTGCACTCCAGCTTAACGCCCTTCGGGCCCACGAAGCCCTGCTCGCACTTCAGCACAAGGATTGGCCTGAAAATCAAATTTAGTCTACTTTAGATACTATTGGGCACACGGTCTGTAATGGGCGGATACTAGAATATAATCCAACGTGAATTGGCGAATACATTCTCCTGACGGGTCCTCGATAATAATACTTAGTAGCGGTAGACCTCCCCATCAAAGAGTTCGTCCAAGGAAATACTGCCACTTTATCTTCCCCTACCACAACGCTCATATTACTGCGTTTCGGTTTTGAAGGGTAAGGGTGATGAAATTACAGGCACATGTCACTGACTTGTCAATTTATGTCACGGTAACGGACGCAGTGGCAATCAGTGACCCTAAGATGCACTGCAACTGTTATGGATAGGCGTGTCGTTTACCACCAGGTGGCGCACGACTTGTTCGTCTCCCGTCACTTAGTATTACAAATAAAAAAAATAAGGCACGACACACGGTGGGCTGAAAATCGGCTTTCATAGACTTAGGGATTTCAATTTGCAAGTGTCCTTTTTTTTGCCGAATATTGCTTCTTTTAGTTATTACTATGTACAAATATGACACCCAAGTTGATTATGTTCAAAAACGAAGGA